CAGGGTCAGGCCTATTTAGACATGCATCAACCAAAGACTGGACTACTTCAGAAAGAAGCCCAGAGAAATCATAGTAGTCTGCCAACTTTAGCTGTTTCAAGCCCCTGCTACAGCAGTAGGGATAGTTTCAGGTTCCTTCCTTCCTTTCTTATTTTGTTCATTTGAATTTAGAAAAGCACCATAAAGTGAGTCATTCTACCACTCCATACTACTTCCCTTTGACTTGGCACAGGGAAAAGACACTAGCCCTCTTGAGATGGTCATTCAAACTCTGCATCATATTTCTTAGGTCTCTAGGGTCCCTTAAAATAAAATTATTCCCCCAAGGGAATAAGTACAATGGCCCTTTGACTCACAGGGGGGCAGAGTTAACACCCACCTCTCCAGTTTAGCATGTTTCTCCCCAGTATGAAGTTGTTCTATCTCAGGATACCTGATTTGAGCTGTGGTAATGTTGAATCCATGGAATAACAAGCCCCAGGTTTAACAGGTCTCCCTTATAGTCCACCTCCAGACTGGAGAAACCTTCAGAAAGAGATCTATTTATACTCTTCACACTGGAAAAGCCGTCACTATGATAATCCATTGATGAGTTCTAGCTGTGTATGCCAGGTGGGGCTTGGCATCCTACAGACTTTATAGAGGGCAGGAGGCCACACAGGGTAAACTAAAAGCAAAATTGACTCTCTTTCTTGCATCCAATAAAACCTCCTGCAGTGAAATATTCCTACCAAATAAGACAGAAGAATACCCATTGAAGAAAAATAGCAGCAGCAACTCCCTTATTCCCCTTGATTAGCTCCCCTGAGGTAAATTGTCAAGAGGCAGGGTTTGCTGCTCCAGAGATGCAGGCAAGACCCATAGTTTGAACCCACCACCTCATTTCCTGGGGCAGGAAAGGAAAGACTGTTGTAGCCATTTGAATCAATTAGACAGCCAAGTGATTTGGCTCAAACCCCCGTGTATTAGTTCAAATCAACAATAATGATGCTATTTAAGAAATGCTGCCTGATGATTGGTTGCTTCAGCCTGATGAATATTCCATGAGAGTCTAAATCTAGAGGTAGTAGCTGTGGTACATCACCACTTCCTTAACTAAGGTGACTTTTTTAAACTCATCTTGGACCGTAGACATTCTCTAAGGCTTTTTTCTGGACCCTCTTCTCTTCTCTAGCTATAGTCTCTTCTTTGATAAGGAACCCAACAGCTCCCGAGGGTTCAGTGATCATTTCTGTGTACTTAACTCTGAAATTTACATACCCAGCCTTACTCTCTCTTCTGAGCTCCAGTCTCATATAACTAACTGGCTGCTGAAAACAAAATCGATGAAAACAAGATTAGAAGGAAAGCAGAAAGCTGGGAAGCAATTTTTACAGCAAGTATCTCTGATAAAGGCCTCATTTTTCAAATATATAGAGAACTGAGTCAAATTTATAAGAACATTTGTCATTCCCCAATTGATAAATGGTCAAAGGGTATGAATGGTAAGTTTTCAGATGAAGAAATCAAAGCTATCTATAGCCATATGAAAAAAATGCTCTAAATCACTATTGATTAGAGAAATGCAAATTAAAACAACTCTAAGGTACCACTTCATACCTATCAGATTGGCTAATAGGACAGAAAAGGAAAATGATAAATGTTGGAGAAGATATGGAAAAATTATGACACTAATGCATGGTTGGGGGAGTTGTGAACTGCTCCAAACATTCTGGAGAGTGATTTGGAACTATCCTCAAAGGACAATCAAATTACGCATACCCTGTGATCCAGTAATAACACTATTAGGCCTGTATCCCAAAGATCGTAAAAAAGGGGGAAAGACCTACATATACAAAAATATTTATGGCAGCTCTTTTTGTGGTGGCAAAGAATTGGAAACTGAGGGGAATGCCCATCAATTGGGAAATAGTGGAACAAGCTGTGATATGTGAATGTAATGGAATATTATTGTGCTATAAGAAATGATGAGTAGGTAGATTTGAGAAAAACCTGGGAAGACTTTTATGAACTGATGCTGAGTGAAGTAAGTAGAATCAGAGAACACTGTACACAGTAACAGCCACATTGTGCGATGATCAATTATGATTGACTCAGCTCTTCTCAGCAAGACAATGATCCAAGACAATTCCAAAAAACTCATGATGGAAAATGCTCTCCACCTCCAGAGAAAGAAGTATTGGAGTCTGAACACAGATCGAAACATAGTATTTTCACTTTCTTTGGGTTTTTTTAGGGTATTTCCCTTTTCTGTTTCTTTTTTCACAACATAACTAACGTGGAAATGTTGTGCATGATTGCACATGGATAACATTAGATTGCTTGATGTCTTGGGGAGGGGAGAAGGAACGAAGGGAGGGAGAAGTATTTGGAACTCAAAATCTTATAAAAATGAATACTGAAAATTACCTTTACATGTAATTAGAAAAAAATAAAATGCTATTTACATTTAAAAAAATAAACAAAACCAAACCTCCCATTAGCATCTCAAACTCAACATATCCAAATCAGAGCTCATGATATTCCTGTACCAAATCCATCTCTCTTCCAATCCCCTTCCCCATTTCTGTTGATGCCATCACAATTTCCTCAGTCACCCAGGCTAGCAACTTTGTAATCCTCCTTTACTCTTCCTTCTCTCATAACCCCATATCTAGTCATTTCCTCAGTTTCATCGATCCCACCTCTCACATTCATTCCTTTAGCTCAAGCAGCCTCTACTAAGTCCAGGCCCTCCTGACCTCTCACTTGGACTAGGGCAGGTGAGGCAGTAGCCTCCTGTTTGTTCTACCTTCTCCTTTCTTACCTACTCTTTGCAGTCCATCCTCCACAGACCTGCCAAAACGATATTACTAAAACCCAGCTCAGGCTGTTACTGCCTCATCCCCCACTTAAAAATCTTCAGTGGCTCCTTATCACCTCTAGGACGAAATACACATTCCTTACCCTGATATTTAAAGCAATCGTCTTCATTCTATATTCTAGTCCAAATGGCTTGCTAAGCTGTTCCCTATACATGGCTTTCCCTTCCATGCCTTTGCACAGGTAGTCCCCCATGCTTGGTATATACTCCATTCCTCATTTCCCTTTGTAGAATCCTTTAATTCCTTCAAATAACAGTTCAAAGGGCTATTTCTTACCAAAGCTATTCCTGATGCCCCAAGTTATTATCATTCTTTATCTTCTGAAACTTTTTATTACTTTGTATCTCCTTGTCTATGTAGCTGGTGCTTCACACCACAAGACTATAGGCAGATTGCTTCATTCATGTTTCCTAGTAGCTAGCACAGTGCTTAGCATATAGCAGGTGTTTAATAAATGTACAGCTAGAATGATCACATGAATCCCATAGACTAGAGGTTTTCAATGCCCAATTTCATTTCCTCCTTTCTACATAACTCCACCCCTATGTGCTATGCTGCCCTCCTATTCCGTTTCTCTCCCCTCTCTTCCCACCTCCCCCCCATTGCTTTTTGGACCACTTCCAACTGGATATCCCCACTCCCCAACATGTGAAGTAGGTTGCCACTCTTTGGACTAAGATACATCTTTCCTCTTCCCTCCTCCTGAGGCACAATTCAGAGCCTCACTTCACTAGGAAGTCTCTCCAGGATGGTCCTGAGCAGAGACTATGGCACTCATCTAAAGTGAAGCTCAGAATTCCTGGCCCAATTTCATCTCTTCTTCATTTACTCTTTCCTCTAGTCACCAACATAGGCATCCAACCTGCCTGCCTACTCTGTAGTATAGTTTTACATGTTTCTGCTAGGGCTGTGACATATAGGTATATCTATTTTTATTTTTGAATTTTCACTGGACTTATGATTTCATCAGTGTACGATATTTTCCGTAAGGAATTTCTTCTACCAATTCAGATCAGCAAGTATCAGCTGCTGAAGGCACTGAAATTTAAGCCACTTGCCCTGTGCCACACAGCCAAGATGTACTAAAGACAACGACTCCGAGATAAAACCTTCCTGATTCCAAGATCAGCTCCCTATGATTCATAGGGCTGCCTCTCAGTAGATTTAGATTTGTTTTAACAGATGTTGAGAAATATAGGTAAGGTGGAAAATGAGTACTAAAGTGATACTGTGTATGTATAACTGAGGATAGCGATTCATGTTTGGGCATACAGAGTCCTGAGCAAGTGTGTGTGATCTGTTCCACACTCGGGGTGAGTCATGATCATTTGATTCATGGGACTGCTCACTAAGCCCCATAACAAATTCCTGTACATAAATGAATCCTGTCCATGGTTTGATATATGTCCAGCATGTATCTTTTCTGAATTAGACAGCAAGATCTTGGGAGGGAAGAAGGGCCGTGACTGCTTTCAGCTTCTCACTCTAACCCCATGCAAAAACAAAACAAAACAAACCAAAAAACACACCTACTATAACCTAAGTACTCAGCATAAAAATTTCCTAGTAGTACCATGTAGGTAGGTGGCCACAGAAAATCTAACCTTTGAGTAAACCAGAGAGGTTGTTGGAACCTGGAAGAGGTTTTGAGGTTGTTGGGGAGGGGGGAGTTGGGGGGTAGCATCCCCTGCATTGTGGTTAGTATAAAGCTATGGTCTTTTGACATTACCTGAGTATGTGACTTCAGTACTTTTTAATAAGGCAAGCTGCCTAAATAGCTAAACATTTAACAAAAATTCTGTCTTCTTTCGGCCCAAATAATAATGATTAAAGGGATTGAATGGGTCTGGGGAAACGTTTACGTATTCCGTCCATAACCATACAGACACCCTCTAAGGGTGGGGTGGATCACCTGGACAGATTCGTCTGACAGAGCACTGGGTCACGGTGGCCTCTGGCTAGGCGTCCACACGAGCCTGCAGCGAGTGCCCAGAACTCTGGGGCTGCTAGGGGCTGGGAGAAGTTTCAAGATCTCAGCCCGCCCTCCCTCCTCCCAGTCCGGAGGAGCCAGCCTCTGATTGGATGATCTTCTTTTCAACTGATTCTAATCGGCTTGTCCTGCAGGGGTAGGGAAAACAGCCGGGCAGTGTCTGGGGAAAACCTCAAGCCTCAGCCGAAGGCTTAAAACGTGGAAGTTTTTTGTTCTTAGAGACTCTTCCTTTTGCCGGGACGACCGCGGAGAGGGGAAGCCGATCTCCGATTGGGCAGTGTGGACAGCCGCGGCTGCATTGGGTGAGTTTATTTGAGGAAGTTGTGAAAAGTTTTCTTGCTTTCTTCTGGAAGGCTTCTGGCGCTGGAGGAGCCTGGGGCTGGTTTGGCTTGCTGAGGTTCCGCTGGGTTAGAAATAGCCCCGCGCTCGGTGGGGGAAGGAGCCCAACCCCAAACAGCAGCCGCGGGAAAGTCCATAGCCTGCTCTTCCGTCGTCCAGGTCCCGGGTCCTCTTAGTGAGGCCGCTGCCTCGCCCCTGCCCAGCCCCAGATGCTCCCAAGGGAGATGTCCTGGACAGGCGCCTGGGACTGGCCACGGGAGCTAGGCGGCTGTGGGTACCCCAGCAGTGCACCTTGGCTCATTCACCTAGGGAGGCGAGCTCCTCTGGCCAGAATATGGCTTTGTCCCCTTTTTTGATCATCTCTGCTCCGCGGCCTTTAACCCTTTGTGCTCTTCCATGTCTTCTGAAAAAGCACAAACACTCTCTGGCCCAGAAGGGGCGGGGGGGGGGGGCGCTGCGGGGCTCAGGGCGGGAGATCTGGAGTTGTGGCGGTTTTCAGGAGAAAACAGAGCCCATATTTATGAAGTCCCTGTAGGGTTTGCCACACACCCCCACCTCCAGACGTCGCGAGCCCCCTTACCTTCCTCCCCACCACTGGCTCTCCCCAGCCCGTCCCCCGCCCTCTCTTCAGCCCACTCCCCTCCTCTCCAACTCACTCTCCTCCTCCCCCGCCCAGCCCACTCTCCCCTTTACCCCCCTTCCTACGTCTCACTCTGGGTGTCCGGCTCATTCCTACTCCTTCCACCCCACTCGCCCCCCTCCCCCTCTCTCCAGCTCATGCCCCTTGTCTCTGGCCGCTCCCCTGGCCCTCGCCCGCTAGCCCTCTAGGCCGTTTGCTCAGCCCTACTTTCCCGATAGACATAGGGGAAAGAGGTAGGGGCCGGACGGCTAACTGGGACTCTGGCCAAAAGTAGTGAATTTGTCCTGCCCGTGCAGCCCCACGCGGCCGAGGTCCTAGTAGACTGGGCGGGGCTGGGAGGGCTGCAGCCGGCCCGGTAGGGCCGCTTGTAAGGGGAAGAGCTGGTTGGGATGAGCCCTGGAGAGGACCTGGCCTGGGAACCGGAAGGCTTTAAGGCTCAAAACGTGTTAGTTTGGGTTTGGTTTTTGGGGGGGAGGGAGGCAGCGGCTACAGCCACGGCGTCTCTTCCTTCCCTTGGGCAGCTTGGCCACCCGCTCCAGAGCCCACCCCGCTCCATTCCCCCAAACCTGCTCAGCTTCCTCTTGTTTGCTCCTTCTGGCTCGGGAATGGGCCAGCCTGTGGCTGCGTCTCCTGGGTGACCTCCACCCCCACCCCCGACCCAGCGATGGCCACCCGGGGGACCCGGGGCGAGGCTGGGCCGCTTGCGATTGGCATGGCCCCTTATCTGGGCTCCTCGGGCCTGGGCAGCCACTGCAGTTCGAGTCTAAAGCTTGGCCTTAGGAATCCCAACAATATTTGGGGGGGTACAATGAGAGAAGAACGCAAGCCTCCTGCTCTGGCCCCACTTTGCTCCAGGGTCCCAATCCATCTGGTTGCTATGTCTCTAGTTTTCAGGAAAGAATTGGTATACAAATTCTTCATAAGGAGGTAGGGAAGCTGTTCCCACACGCCCCCTCCCCCAGTCTCTCAGGTATTGATAGGAAAAGTCGGGTATTCGAACCAGGATGGTGCAAAACAGAGACCTCAGAGTGAGAAAACCCTGCCATGGTGGTGGTGGTCACTCCCCAGGTCCTGATCAAATATTCTTATACCCCGATGCTGAGGTGTCTTAATTGTTTCTTCGGACTTCGTCCAGGTGATGCATTAACTTCAGTCTTCGGGTTCAAAAATTGAGAGTCCCCGTGTCTGAGAAGTACTCATTTACTGTGTGAGGTAATGTGATGGGAGTGGTACCCTCGAAAAGGGTGATGAGGTACTTTTCTGAAATAGTATCCCTGAATATTGGATTGTCTAATTGATCACAGCTCTACAGAGAGGATGAGTATAATGGACCATTAAAGTACAGTTTTCAGGGAGAAAATATGTAGGTGGTTTTTATCTTGTTAGCCTTTCTTCACAAGAAGAAAAAGAGGGAGCCCTTTAAGTCAACCATTTAAAAACATCAAGAAAAATTTTAAGGTGAAATATTTCCCTGCAATAATCCTGTCACTTCTAATACTGCATTAGCACAACGTTGAAAAGGGCCCAGTTTTGTTGCATCTGGGCCAGAAGAGGCAATGCACTCAGATGTATTCCTTGCAGAAATTTTTTTCATTATCTCTCTAAATATATCTGCCATAATTGAGGCATCAGTTTTTGAAAAGGCCCTAACTCTGTGGAATTAAAAGAAGTAGGTCAACCCCTCTGGCACAATTGTACTTGTCAATGCAAACATCTTTTCAAAAAATGCATATGTACTCCTGGTCACCATGAGGGTAAGGGGGATGCCTAAGTCTTCCATTTCTTTTCCCTCATCTCCTTTATTTCCATCCAGAATGGTTCTGCAGGTCAATGAAAAGTGTGTTAATAGACCTTTCCTCACTTCCAAAGTTAATCGTTGGATTTATACCCTTCTGGGGAGGATCTTCTCAGTGCCCCTTTCCCTTCTGACAGATGTGGTGGCATTCTGAATTACTGACATTTACAAATAGCACTTGACTGTGTTCCTCCAACCCACACAAGGCATTGTAGTTATTTAATGTGTGAATTCCAAGTATACACAAGCCCTTCATGGGGCTGATAAACAGCATACATCTTAGAGATCATTCATTTCGACTTCCTCATTTTTCAGATGGGGAAGCTGAGGCCCTGACAGGTTAAAGTGATCGAAATTCTAACCCACTTCCTCTCACCCCAAATATAGTGATCCTCTTTACTACATTGCCTAGAGCAGAAGTTCTTAAATTTTTGTGTTACACCCCTTCAAAAGTTTGGTGAAAGTCTATGGAGTCCTTCTCCTAATGTTTTTAAATGCATAGATTACAAAGGAAAACAATTATAATGAAGTACAGTTACCAAAATTTAAAAAAATTCATGGACCCCCCAGAAATCTATCTGTATACCCCACTTGGGGTGTCTGTGAACTGCAGATTAAGAACTTCTGACCTAGAGAACAGATGACTGGCTGCACAGTTAGGCCACCTACCTATGCTTAAGGTTCCTTATTTATATGGAGGACGTACTGAAGATATGTGTGGAAGCACCTGAAAAAAAAATGCTTTGCACGAATGTAAACTATAATAGGTTATTTTTAGTTTGACCCAAGGTTAATAGTTATAAGCCTAGTAAGAAATATTCACATGTTTTTCATTCATTAAAGTTTCAGGAGCTTAAAGTAAAAATAATTGACTTTCTAATTTTTATTTTTCGCTAAAGTGAACACTGTAAAATTGAAAATATTTGTTACCCAAAACAAATTGTGAACGCAGAGGCTTAAGGTTATCAATGACCAATAAATGATGAGATTTTACACCTTAAGGACAGGGTTAATGGACATTAGTGACCAATAAATGATGGAATTTTACAAGTGAAATCTGTATATATAAGCTTCTGGAATTAGGGTTCCACATGGAGTTACCTTATTCTATTTAGTTCTTACTCATTTATTTTATTTTATTTTATTTTTGCTGTCATGATTTTTATTATGTTGCTGCCTGTAGTGGTAAATTGAGTTCCTTATCCAGAAAAATTCTACATAGAGGTTGTATTTTCAACCTAAAATATCCCAAATAAATAAAAATTATGATACTCTTATGAAACTCTTGTCAAAATGGTAATAGCTAGAATTATTTTATAGTAACAATTCAAGTGGTGCTATTTTAACAGAAAAATAATGACTGACTTTCTAATGTACGAATATATAAGCCTCTACTACAGTAGTTCATGGGTTAGGAAATGAGTCACTTTTTAAAACAGGCTGCCATCCCCTTGAACACAGTCCTAACACTTGGTTTTCAGGATAGAATGTGGGAACAATTGAACCATAAACTATATAATTAAACATGGCAGAGAGGGATTGACAAAATTCAGTTAGAAAACTAGCTGCCCACTGCCTTTCAAAGAGAAGAAAATGCACACACTCTATCTGATAACCTGGTGGATTCTGAGTGAATGGTTTTGTACCTTGCATTTGTCATACTCAATACTCAGCTAGATTGGGATCATAATGCATCCCTGTGGGCCCATCCTGTGTGCCTCGCGTCCGGGACCACCCAGTGTACTGGGGCCCTCCCTTGCATTCTCCTGACATCCCAGGTACTCTCCAGTCTATCTCTTCTTTCGATTCTACTTTGCTTGATGACTCTTGTTCTGTGCAGCCTCGCATTGGTTGTGTGTTATAATCAGCTCCACCCACTCTGCCCCTCTCTTCTTTGCCTTTTGTGGGATAGTCCTTGCAAATTCTTTGTAAAATGTTGCGTGCCATGCCTTATTACCATACAGCAACTCTGACATCTGATAGATGGATCAGAAACATTTCAGAACTGAAAAGGGACCTTCAAGGTCATGGGTCTGACCCCGCCATTTTACAGATGGGAAAGTAGAACTAGAAGGTGGGCTTCCTGTGGCCCAGTCTGGTGCCCTGTGTACTAGATGCTGTGTCCATCACGTTTTTTGGGCTCTGGCTGTGGCTTCCATAAAGCAGGGCACCCAGCCCTCTTCTCTCCTACCTCTCGCAATTATTGTGAGGATGTGTTCTCATTTTAGGTGACCATGTTTTGACAAACACATAGCAAACCACAGAATTTTTAATTGGAAAGGACTTCAGTCCTTTATATCAGATAGCCTGACGTATTTGTCATAACCTTGAGTTTTCAAGGAAAAATGAGATAATATTTTGTCAAATGCACAGTCATCCTGGGAGGCAGGAGGAAAGAAAGCTGTGTGCCCTGATTCATGGAGAATAAAGTCAGAAAGCAGAGATGATGGTAAGCCTGACATCAAGAGTACAGGGTGGGGAAGCAGGAAACCAGGCTTTTGTGCTGCTCTCCCTCAATTTTTCCATCTGTAAAATGACCAGATTTGACTGTACAATCTTGCTAGCCCTTTATAATCCTGGGACGTACCTCTGCCGTCCTTGACTCAATCTAGAACCTTAACTTCCTTGAACTTAATCTAGAACCTAAAGTTAGACATTCCTCTATTTCAAGGGTTCTTGACCAATTTTTGTCATGTTCCCCCTTCGGCAGTCTTGGGAAACCTATGAACCCCTTCTCAGTCATGTTTTTAAATGCTTAAGATAAAGTACATATAATTACAAAGGAAACCAATTATATTGAAAGTTATATAATATATATTTATCTTTTTTAAAAACAAGTTTATAGCTGTCATGTTAAGAACCTATACCTTTCACTAAGGAATATTTGACTTGCTATAGAAGACATAAGCGTCACATGAAAACAAATTATGATACTTGGGTGAGATTTGAATTTTCAGTAATTTAGCAAATCAGTTTCCAGTTAGCCTAGTCTGCAGAAAATCATTTAGGGGAAAGGAGAAAGATCTAGTGACGTGTAGCCTACAAATGTATTCATTCTAAAATGGAAAAAGACACTAGGAAAACTGGTTTTAAAAAATGCTTAGCCCCTAAAATGTATCAGAGAATTTTAGCACTGAAATCATCCAGTCCTTTCAAGTTTCTAGGTTACCAAGGCTAGCTAGGTTAATGACGTGCTAAGCTCCCACAACTACTCCAGGAGAGCAGGTCTGACAAACGAGTTCTCGGCTCCTGTTTTCGAGCACTTAGCACAAGACCATAAAAATCCCTATGTTCTGTGGAGTGGCCTTTGACACTAGCTCCAAATTTTCTCGAGGTCAGAAATGTCCTCTAAGAAAGCCGGTTAGTTGTAGGAGGTTTGCTTGTTTCTTCCCCAGTGGCTTGTTCACGGTTACCAGTGGGAAGGCTTTGCTGTCTTCCACAGCTTTCTCTAGTCTCCTATAGCTAACTCATGGATTTCAGCCATTAAGTAAAATCAGCCCAAAGGTCTGCAGCTCTCAGGGCCTAGTTCAACTTAAATGTTTAGACGACAACACGGCTTGTTTCAACTTGATTAAAATTCTGCTGAAATGCTTGTCAGACAAATCTCCTGTTCTGTTATGTCACAAAGTCATTTGTGAAAAACTATCCATCTGAGATCAGCAAACTGGGACAACGGTTTTTAGGCTCCAATTACTACTAATATGATTAAAACAGAGATGGTTTTAGAAAGGGGAAAAAACCTAATTTGGATATCTAAGTAGAGAGAGAGAGAGAGAGAGAGTGAGTGAGTGTATATGTGTGTATGTGTGCGAGCATGCGCATGGGTGCTACCAATATACAGATAATGAAGAAAAGGAAAAAGAATATTTCATTAATGTTTCTGGCTATAAAATTGTTGAGCTGACTTCACTGATTTACAGAAGAAGGTCAAACAAACTCAAGTTGAATTTTGGGGTAGAGCTTCCTGGCATCAGCTCATCAAATGAGAAGAGCACCTTGTGTTGTTACTTATTGTCTCTGCCGCACATATGAAATATACAAAAAGTTAGAAAGAAAGAAGAAAAACCCATTTTGGGATGGTATCTCAGAGGCCACCATCCGTTAAGTCAGTCCTGAACAGGGAAGCATCTCCCATCCCCCAGATCCCAACAAATGGGAGTGTATTTAGCCCAACAGACTTAGATTGGAGTTGGCAGGCCTGAAAAATTACCCTTTGGAGCCAGAATGGAAACAAACAGTTCACTACTTGCCAAAGCCACAAACACCATCCTGGTATGCTAACATCCCTAAATATAATTAGCAGGCATCTCCACAATAAACTACCAGATTAAGCTCACTTTTGGGTAGCCTACAAGGCACCATCCTAATTCTTTGATTATCCTTTGAGGCTAAGTATCTAATGGAATGATTCCTACTTCAGTATATGTGGTGGGCTCAGGGCCAGGTTTATTTAGTTAGTAAGGACCTAGAGGAATTTAGTATTTCCTTATACTTGGGGGAGAGCATCCAGTGTCAGCCACAAAAAAGTCATTTAGATTTTGCCTAGAAAATGGCCCTACCCTTTTTCAGTGTTATAGTGTAGACTGTGACAAAGTTTGTGCCCATGTGCTGACAGTGGCTTAAGTTTAGAAGACCTTAAATTTAAAGTAAAACCTTGATCAAGTGACAAAATCTTAATGGATGGGTGCGTGTGTGTGTGTGTGTGTGTGTGTGTGTGTGTGTGTGTGTGTATGACCAAATGTGTGTATTTGACTTTCCACATGAAATAAGGCTGAGTGATTAAAGTGAGTGCCATGATAAGGATGGTTGCAGAAAAAGTCTTTCCTGATGCTTGCCCCTTGTTAGGGGGAAGGTTTGGGGCAGGAGGAGGCAAGGGAATTGGCTTTCCCAGAAGAGCTCTAGAAGGTTATCCTGAGGTAGAAAGGCATTTGGGGGGGCTCTTCTGGGTCCAGAAGGTATAGCCTAATGGCAGAGACTCAGAACTAGGTTTTCTGAGAGATGATGTGCTTTTCAGTTTCGAGTCTCAAAAACCCTACCTAAATTGTGGCAGGGTTATATATATCTGCCACTCACCAGGCTGGAACCACTGGTCCTTGAAGTATCACAGTAAGACTAGGGGATGGAGATTTTTAAGGCTAGGAATATCATTTTCCCTCCTTTTGATGTCCCTCATCCAGGATATAGTGTAACAAATATAATTACTTTTCTCTGTCTAGAGAGAAACTCACTTTGCTTCCCTGTTGTATTGGGAAACAAAGGTGCTGCTACTGGGTGGAGTTAGCAGAAGAGAAAGGAAGTGGATTCATAAATAATATCTATACTAAAGCAAATTCAAAATAGTTATGGATAGATAATTCCCTATAAAGCCCACTTGTGAAATACCCTGTAGAACCACACCAAGATTTCATGAAACATAGCGGGGTAAGGAAGAAACCACCTGGCTTAAGTGACCTTTGAAACAACTATGACTTTTAAATAATGCAAACATTTTTGTTACAGCAAAGTATTCTCCCATCTTCATTCTCAGGTGGTATTATTTGCTCCCAAGTTGTCTAAAGATTTTTGTCTGCTATTTCCAAGCCTTGTAATAGCTCAGATATGAAAAATGCAGTTACATTATGGTTAGGGAGTCTGACATTATTTATAGATTAAATATGATTTATGTAAATTGATACTTGTTCTTTGCCGGTGCTACATAAAACATTAGATCCTTAATTTATTTTTTATTATGCACCTGAATTAGGAAATCTACTTTGTATCAACATTTTTCTGTCTCCCATCATGTTCTGTAATATTAAAAACTTTTCCTGAAAACATCAGCAGCCATTTCAGAGGCTGGTTCTTTTTCTCTGCCCTCCCCCAGCTTGCCAAAGAGGCTGCTACCCATGTCCTTATCCCTTAAAACATACTGTATAATCCCCATTTCCCACCGGCTTTCTGTTCCTCCCTCCTTTTGCTTCTCCATTTCTTCTGGTATCTTCTACGACATGGAACAAGAACCCTCCTTTTAGGAAGTGCCTAAACTATACAGTTAAGAGAAACCCACAAAAGCAGTTTTTCTACTAATGCAGCGTGGAAAGTGGAGTTTGGAGCAGACAAAAGGCAGTAAGAAAAGCAGAAAAGTCTGTGATCCCAGAAAGAGAGACTGTGACCTAAGAAACCAAGGGGAGTCAGTATCAACAGTAGTGGCTTCAGACACTGGAAGAGATTCTGGGGCTCCTTCTCTCATGATGGGAACCCACTGAAGAGCTTCACCACTGAAGAGCCCTGAGGGGAAGGAAGATCATGGTGGAGAGACGGGATAGAGATTTCCCATTTTAAGCTGTTAACCTGGAGCCAGCAAATCTCTAGTTTATCATTCCTGTATTCTTTTAACTTTACCATTTGCTTCTGAAACACTGGTCTTTATTGTAGATATTTAGTTTAATAAAGAATGGATGAGAAAAAGAGTAGAGTGAAGGTGAAAAATACCTGGGACATGGAAAGAGATGGAAAGAAGCTGTGATGGGCATTGTTAAATTTTCTCTCCAATATTCCTACGCAGAATTAAGAAAGTGCTTGTACCATCAGGCTAGAAAGAACAGGACTGCTTTGGAATGAAAAGCCGGACCCATCTCATTACTTGATAGGCAGTCATGCTCTCTATGGCTCCCAGATTTCCTTGATGAGCGTATTCCCTCCAGCTGTCCAGATTGCAGCCTGGCCATAGCTTCTCCTCCCGTTTCACTTTTGCTATGCCATCCCAGAAATCCTCCATAGAGCCCCATCCAATGTCCTGTAGGCCATACTCTGATTCTCAGCACACTATCTTTTCTGGGGGGGACACTCAGGTACTCAGGCACTCCATCTCTTCACTCTCATTCTTGCCAAGACCACTACCCCACCCTTTTTTATTCTTATGTGATTTTTGGCAGAGATATTGGGGTGGTTTGTTATTTCCTTCTCCAGCTCATTTGACAGATGAGGAAACTGAGGCAAATGGGGGTAAGTGACTTGCCCAGGGTCACACAGCTAGTAAGTGTCTGAGGCCAAATTTGAACTCGGAGAAGAGTCTTCTTGACTCCAGGCCCGGCACTATATCTGCTGTACCACCTGGCTGATATAAATAAATAAATGAATGAATAAATGGATGAATAAATATACACACACATGCGTACACACATACACATAGACACACATAAATACACATATGCATGTATATGTAGGTATGTGTGTATATACATGTGTGTATATATATCAGCATAGCAGGTATCTTTATATGCTGTGTTTGCCCAATTCATTGTTGACAATATGCTGCAGCCCATCTGGAAAAGATGTGTTGACACTCTGTAACAAGCTGTTTTCTTCTATGACAGTGGTACCACTCCATTTGGACGCTATCATCTCAGTCCCGGATGAGCTGTACAAAGAAGTAGGAATGGCCACAAAGGGAACCTGGACCAGATCAAGCGTGCCCAAAGGGAGTCTGTGCTGGAGGTGACACCATGTCAAGGGTGTTGAGGGATCCATTTTCAAGAACTGAAAGGAGAAAATACCCAACGCCTGGGAAGAGACACAGACGGTATTGTGACCAGCCTGTCGCTCCTTTATGCCTCTTCCCCTTCCTAATTCCTTGTTGGTGCTTGGGTGTTGCAGGTTTCCCCATGTATCTCTCCACTGTCTTTGGGGTAATCCTTTATTTCAGTTCTTTGGAGACCGTAGTGTGCCAGTCTAATGGAGGACATTGGAATAAAACGCGTGTATTCTAGTGCCAGGCCAGTTATTGACGCCCATCCGTTGTCCCTTGTTCTGACCATGTAATGGCTCACCTCCTTTTCTGGTCTTGGGTGTCTTTGAGGTCTTTTAAAGCCACGTTCTTGATTGCTGGATGCCATCAGTGATGAGTGTTGTAGCCTTCTGCCCATGCCCTCAAACTCTCCATGTTGCCCTTAGGGTCACATCAAGATTACATTCTTTTAACTGGTGGCCATGTAACATCACCACAAGAATGTGTTTTTAAAAAGAAAGGGAGGCAGATGGGATTGGGGCATTGTTGGCAGGCCTCCAAACAGTTGAAATTGCTGTAGAATTTTCCTAGTCAGTCCTGAACCCAGCTCATTGTCTTTCTATAATGCAGCCTGACTCAGAACTATGCCTCCCACTGGGTGCCCTAATCCTGGCAATATAAAGGCTTCAGCCTCTTGTGTTTTCCCCGGGGTAGATTTCTAGGCTGATGATGGCTAGAGGGGCTGTGAGTCTCAGTGTATTCAACGCCTCCACCAATAAAAGCCACTGCCCTCCCCGGGACACTTTTTTTTTGTGTTTGTCTTACACAAGTTGCTGTACCTACTGGAGAGCCACACTGTTAGAAAGGAATCTTCACCCTGGAACCCCTACTGCCCCAACCTTCCAGCATCCCAACATATCCTGAGTTTGGGAATGGGCTATGTGTAAGTGGGTGAAAAGGATCTTCCAAATCTATAACCTGAACAGAAAAGATGTGTGTACTCACTGGGGGCTGGGGAATGGAGGGAAGGGGAAGCAAAGAACCTATGGCAGGAAACAGAAATGTAGCAGGTAAGAATGGAAATTGTAGTTCCCATGATGCTTACTGATAGGACTTTCCTAAGTCTTGTCCCTCTAGTTCTAGGGTGAAGAATTTAGAGCCTGTTTGATCAATCAGTAGGCATTTATGAAATGCTTATGGCGCCAGGCACTAGGAAAATCAAAACCAGGGCCTGACCACAGGGGGCTTATGTCTGAATGGAGGAAAGAACATATACATCCAAGGCAGAGTAGCTGGATAGTAGTCTCAATGAGGAAGTCTCCTAGCAGCTGGGGGTCAGGGGTGAGGTGGGGGACACAGAAAAAGCCTTCTGCCTGACTGGAACTGAGTCTGGAAGGAAGCCAGGAATTCTAAGACGTAGAGGTGAAGAGGAAGAAATCTCTGGGCCAAGGCAGAGGTACTGGGAGTTTGTATGGAGTAAACAGCAACAACAAAAATATTCTTGTATACATCACATCCTGGAAGGGGGTGTGGCTTTTGTACAATCTTATTTGCTTACTAGGCCCGAAGTTGTGTGAGCCAACCAACATTTAATACCTTTTTGTAAAATGGGAGCAGTTGGGCTATATAAGGAAGGGTAACCTAATATGCAGGCTAAAGAAAATGGGTGTAAACGAAATTAGGTTGTCCTTTAATTCAGTAAACATTCTTTCAGAGAATAGAAATCCCTCCTATCTATCAGAAGATTACGAAATACTGCAGTAGTATGGAGGAACATTGTAAAATCCCTTTCCTCAGAAATTAGAAAAAAACAAAACAAAACACGGACAGGCTAGAATGCTAAAGTCTTTTAGATTTTTCAGGGATAATAGTACATATCATCGCCCTATGCTACCCTCACACTTTAATCTTAAAAAAATAAAATCTATTAGACCAAGTAGAAGCAAAAAAGGTAAGAAGGCCTGAATTAAGGTGGTAGCAGAGTGAGAAGAGAAAAAAAGATGTTATAGAGATTATGCAGGTTGACTCTACTTTATAACATGGCACCTCATTGGAGATGGGGATGAAGATGAAGGCAAGGAAAGATGCTGATGATTGGAAGGATTCTAGTGCCATCTTTTCAATTCAGAAAATTTTAAGTGCCAGCTGCATGCAAAGCACAATACTGGGCACTGGAGATCTATAGACAAAAAAATTCACAGTCTCTGCCCCCAAGCACTTACTTTATACTGGAGAGAATACAACATGGACATGATTAAGTGTGATTTGAGGTGGATGGTTGAGAAGAGAGCAGTATTCTAGAAAAATTTGGAATGAGAGGAAAGAATACCTTCAGGGGATAAAATCAGGGGAGGAGTCATTAGGATGTCTTGACTGTCATGCTAAGGGGTCTGCTTTATTCTCTAGGCAGCAAGGAGCTGCTGAAGGTTTTGAGCAGAAGCGACATGGTCAGACCTATGTTGTAAACCAATGATTTGGACATGGTAGGAAGGATGGATGGGGAAACCAGTTAAACTGTTATGACTGAAATAGGGGAAGCTGGGATGAGGAACAGGTTTTAGGAGAAAGTGGATGACAGTCTCTGTTTTGGACATGCTAAGTTTTAAGCTGCCCATGGCGGAGTTATAACTAGTATTTTTCCTACTAAAGGGAAGGGGAAGAAAAGATATCTTCAGAGGGATAGGAGCAGCAGGAAGAGACAGAAACAGTTGGGCAGGGGATGTGAGAGGGGAGAAGAGCTTACCCCTGGAGAACTTCTGGTAGCTTCCTATTTTTATTCATTATTCTTGTCAAGTAGTGTAATTAAGAGTGTAGGTGACTGGGTCTCCTTCCTTCCACTATCACCATCCCTTTCCCACAAACAGATGTGATCTTGGGGCACCCACCTTTCCCTGATGCCAATGGTAGGTGAGGCTTTGCCCCAGGCAGAGGCCCGGTTGCCATGTCCTAGTTATAGTGCTGGCCAATAGGACATCCAGATGGAAATTTTTGTTCACAAGGCAGTTAGAGATGAGATCAAGGAAGGATAAATAGATTTGAGAGTCATTTACATAGAAGGGATAACTACAGCCATGGAAATAGATCAGATTACATTAAGTGGAAGAAAAAGCACAAAAGATAATAAATCAAAGGTCTGTTCACTCCCTAATTGCCAATAACATAAAGCAAAAGCTTTCAAAAGATTTGAAGAACCAGCCCACACACTAAGGTCTTGAGAAGTGCTTTACATCTATCTCTTCTTGTCTAAATAGTCTGATGACTACCCTCTTCAAAGCCCTTCAGCTGAAAGGACACAGACTTTTACAGCTGGCTTTTCTCGCTGAGATTTTATCTTGCCTAACAATACCATAATCAGTCTCCTCAACAGCTAACTCATTACCTGCCAGCGGGTTCTACAGTGGAGGAAACTGAGGCCCAGTGAAGTGACTTGCCCAAAGTCAGTAAGGGCATAGCTGAGAGTCTAACCCAGGTCCACCGACTCAAAAGCCACATAATGCTACAGCCTCTCTCTGGATCACACCCCCAGCTCCTGCCTTCCTAGCAATCCTCCTCCTGCTCCCTCTTTCCCCTCCCCCTCCCCTTCATCTGCAACATGGTGACATCATCTGCTCTCATGGGGTCAAGTGTCAGCCCTCAGCCAATGATTCCCAAATCTATGCATCCAGCACAAATCCAGCTCATCGTTATTGGCACTAGGTTGTCCCGAGGAAGACACTTTATGAACGTTAAAGCACGATATCAGGGGTTCTTCACCTTTTTGTGAGTCACGGACCCCCTGGGCAGTCTGGTGAAGCATCTAGACCCTTCTCAGAATGAAATTCGTTGCCTATATTCATAATCGAAAGCAAGGGTGAGTGACTTAATGAAACTAAATTTTAGTTAAAAGTAAGTGAAACTAAAGGAGCTATTTTTTTCCATCCAAATTTGTGGACCCCTTGGAGGTCCACAGATCCCAGGTTAAGAACCCCTGTACTATATAAATATGAGTGTGTGTGTGGGGGGGCGGTAATGGCACTTTAGGAACAGGTATTTAAATCATCCTTCAGCAGAAAACTGGAGACTACGTTCTTATCCATGGTTTTACTTGACATATATGCCAGCCTTAAACAATTTTTCATATGCATGGATATTTTAAATACAGATTCACACCTATGCTCCAAGGCACCAAACAGCTCTCCTTGGCAAAAATAGCTACTCTCCCACTGACAGTACTTAAGGACGATGGAGAATATATTAATTTATTGATGTATTCAGTATTTTCCTTGGCTTCATCAAACATCTGTTGAACTTTTACTCTGTGAGCACTATGAGCAGGAGAAACAAGATTAATTCCAAGTCGAGGATGGACACCCATGCCATGTGTATTTCAGAGATCCTCAGGGTGGGGTGGCTCTTTATTCATTCACTCAACAATCCGACAAACTTGTTGGATGGGTGTGAGCTTACGTCAGGGAAGGGTCTGTTTCTCGTTCTGACCTGTGCCTCGCTGCTAACAGAGGCACTGGGAAAAATCCAGTCAGTGACCAACAGTGCATGTCTGATGTTGGGCCCTGTCGTACAAACCCCAAGTTTTGAATGCTGAGTTTATTGGATTTCTTTAAGTCTCTTCGTTTGGAGCAACTCTCGGAAAAGAAGACTGACTCTGCCAAGCCTGTCTCTGGGTAACTCCTTCCCTTGCCATGGTTTCTGCCTGGTTTTGCGTCTTCTTTCTCTACTTGTTCTCCTCTTTCTCCATCCTTTTGCTGTTCAGTGTCAGCCATATCTGATTCTTTGTGAACTATTTTAGGGCTTTTTTGGCAAAGATACTGGAGTAGCTTGCCATGTCCTTCTCAGCTCATTTTACAGATGAGGAAACTGAGGCCAACAGGGTGAAGTGACTTGCCCAGGGTCACACAGCTAGTAAGTGTTTTAGGCTGGATTTGAACTCGTAAAGATGAGTCTTTCTGATTTCAGGAATGGTGCTCTATCCGCTTCACCACCTAGCTAGCTGCCCTCCATCTTTTACCTTGTGTCTATATGATACCTTAGAGTTTACAAAGCACGTTCAGAGTATCTGCTCTATCTTGACAACAACT